GGCTCTGCCGGGCGGGCGGGGCAAGACCCCCCGGGCACGCGGGGGTGCGGGCCGGCCCGTCCCGCTCGCCCCCTGGGGCGGGAGCGGAGAAAGAAGCACCGGGCGCGGGCCTGGTCCCTCAGGCCAAGGGGCTCCCCCTTGCCGCCCACCCTGCCTGAGGGCCGAGCCAGGGCCGTGACAGACCGTCCTGCTCCCTCCTCGGGGATCCACCCTCCCTCTACGCCAGCCCAGCTTGGCAGCAGGGTTGAGGGGGAGGCACCTCTTTCCTCTAGGCCCCTTCCGTGCTTGGCCTGGCTGCCAGGGACCCTGTGCCAAGCACAAAGCTTGAATCCTGGCAGCTAGAGGATGAGTGAGGAAGGCTGCCAGGGCTCTGCCTTGGGGGGGGAGGAAGGGCTCTGGCACTGAAGGCAAATAAAGCAACAGGGGAGGCCCAGAGGCTGGGGCAGCTCCTGCCTGTCCCCTCTGCTCAGCCCTGACAGATGCCTGGGGGACAATTTTCTAAGTGTAGGACCAGGCCCAGGACACTGCTAGGTGCGAGCTCCTGTGGCTTTACACGGGGTGACTCTTCATTTCTCTTTTGCCATGAATTCTAGCTCCCAACTCCCCATTGTCTCCCCTTCAAAGGGGAAAATAAAGGTTTGAAGTTTTATGTCAAAAAGGACAAATGTCTCCACCATTTGGGTTAATCAGAGTCGTGGCACGTTTATTAGATGCCAGTAACAACACGATTTATGCATGGCTTGAAAATAAAGGCTTGAAAATAAAGGCAGTGAATGATGTGCAGGGAGCACAGCAAGGTCTGGGAGAAATGGACGAGATTTCCTGGGCAAGGCCAGCAGACTGCAAATGATACCCCCCAGGGGAGGCTGCCCCTGGTGATGAGCAGGTGAATGCTAAGAGAAGAGCCACGACCAGGCCTGGGCTGCTCTAAGGCAGAGCTACACTGACAGAAACCCCTCCTAACCCTCATCTCACTGCCTCCAAAACATCCAGACACTCAGGCAGGATTTAAAGATTAAAGACTTTTTGGTCTTGTAAAAAGCAAAGCGGTGACAGCTAGAAAAGCAAGAGAGAGCCAGTGCCCTTGAACCCCCAGCTGGTTTTCACCAGCCAGCCTATGGGGAGGATTGGTATTGCCAGGTTTCTGGCTTTAATTTTTAAAATTTTTATTTTTGTTTCATGAGGGAGCACCAAGGTCATGGTCCAAAATTCTGTGGTGGCTCCCCCTTGGGCAAAGCCCCCGAGATGAATGGGACTCGTGGCTTCCAAGAGACATCACTCACCTGAGGGTTTGGCTTAGACTAAGCAGCTCATCATTCCTTTATATATATTTTACCATTTCGTTATCTGCTTGTAATTTGTGATCCCACTCCTCTGCCCTTTGGCTTCTCTGTTCACCTCATCCACAGATGTGCTGCCCCCAGGCCTTGGCATCAGTGGAACTGCTTTCCAGACCCTGACCAGAAACTGTGACCTGAAAAAAGAGATGGTCTAAGCCAGTGGGACTCAACCTTTTGGCCCCATGGGCCAAATGAGTGGTGTGGGACCAGTCTGTGGTTTGGATTGGATCCTGCACTCAAGGACTGGGCCTGCATGCCTGGATCCAGGCTATGCTGCCTCTGCCCAGCTCCATGTGTTGGGATCAGGGCCCCATAACCCTGTGCTGCCCTTGCCCGGTCCTGTGTGCTTGGATTAGGGTCCCCAGAATGCGTGCTACTTCCATCCTCTCCTGCATGCCAGGATTGGGCCTCAGGACCCCGAGTCACCTCTGTCTGGTCCTACATGTGGGGATTGGGCTCTGGGCCCTGCATCACCTCTACCCCATTCTGCGCGTTAGGACTGGGGCCCTGGGACCCCACACTGCCTCTGCTTAGGCCGGCATACTGGGATCAGAGCCCTGGAACCCCATACTACCTCCACCGGACTGTGTGTGCTGGGATCAGGGCTCGGGGGCCCTATCCAACCTCTGCCTGGCCCCATGTGACAGGATTGGGCTTCACACTGCCCTGCACAGTGGATCTAGTGCGCAGGTTTACAGCAGAGCCCCACAGGATGGATGACAAAGTGGGGGGAGCCTGATCTGGCCCATGGGGGTTGAGCACCATTGGTCTAAGCCCATCCAGATTCACACAAGACCTTGTTTTCCTTAGCCTGCCTTGGCAATAGGCTGTTTTCTACTGAGTAAAGTATTTAACCACTGACTATCCTCCACCTTCCAGTCTCAGAACAAAAAGTTTGAATGAATCCTTGGTGATCAAAGGTGCTCCAATGATCCTTCTGCAAAGACTCTAAATCTGCTTAATGGTTCTTGTAGCCCAAATACTTCATATTTCCAAGAACCACAGACTTTTCCAGTTGGTGAGATGGATATGTTAAATAGGTTTAGAGATCTTAACAAGGAACCAAAAGGCAACCTATCTTTAATCCTTTCCCCTCAGCTCATTTGGCTACTCATAAAAAACACTGGCAGCAGAGAGTCAGGGCATAAAATGCCTTCTTGTTCCCTCCTCTTCCACATCAACAGAAAATTTTATATTTGCCATCTTGTGTTTCGCTTTTTCTAGGAATTTTCAATCCCCAATTCCCTCTAGGTTATGAAAGTAGGTAACCTTGAAATATAGTAGGATTGTGAGCTTGAGTGCCCTTCCAGCTGCAAATGACATTTACATCCAGTAGCTGACTGCCACTGCCAGCACTTAGTGATCAGCAGGAGATTGCTTCACAATCACGGCGACAGCTCTGAAACACTGGAAAATAGAGCACCCGATCCTGTGCATACCCTGCATGTGAGAGTTTGCTGTGGAATCAAGAGAAAGCAAGGACAGGAAACGTGAAGTAAAAATAACAGAGTTCAAGCATGGAGCTCAGTTGTGAGAGCAGGGATGACTGGATTCATCCCTCCTGACTGTCCTGTTAAATTAGGGATAAGATTGTTGTTGCTATGTATTACTTGTATTATGCGAGGAGGTCACTGTGGTAGCTGCTGTAAAAACACAAACAAGACTGTCCATGCCCCAAAGAGTTTATAACCTTGTAATATACCTGCAAGAAAGAGTTGTTTGAGGCTTACTTAATGCATGCTCTTGGGGTGCATGCATCCTTGGACAAAATGCTGAAGGGGACGAACACAGCAATGTTGTTACATAATGTTAACATTGAACTATTCATTACGTAGCACTGTGAATGTGCCTGTGGCTCCAATCATACCGACAGTGTTCTGTACTCTTTTGTCTGGTACCAGTTTGATTTTCCAGGTTCTACGTTGTTTCCTTCTAATCCTCCATTGGCCCTGTTCTTCCATGGTGTTGTAGGCTAGGTTTGTGCCATCAGAACATCTGCTGTTGCCATACATCATATTGTTACAAATAATGACTTGCAGCATCAATGGTTCTAGAAGTCAGTTGGCTTATAAGCGCAAGAACATCTATTTATGCTGAAAGGTCTTGATTTTACAGAAAAGTAGGGGAAGAAAGGAAGGAGAGTGAAGAGCTTGCTAAAATCCATAACTCAAGAGTGTGCTGGGGAACACTCTACGGCCTTGATTCTTCAAGACATTTCATGCAGGGCACTCCCAGGCCTGCACTAACCTGCCCTCTAAAGTGTAAAGAGACACTTATGCCTTATTTCAAAGACAATGCAAGTTAACGCCATCACATTATTTACACATTATTATTTGCTTATAATAGGGCTCTCCAAATTCCCAGTGGCTGGGGGCTGTATGCCCCACAGGCTGCACCACAGCAAGCCACGGGCCACTGGGAAATGTGCCATGCAAATGTCTCCACTGTTGCACTGCATGCCTGTGCAGGCCAAGAGACACCCTCTGCTTCCCGCCACGTCGCCCGGCCCCCTGGGTGAGGGCAGGAAGCAGCAGACAGAGAAGGGAGGGGGAGCTTGGAGCCCTTGCAGCTGGAGCAACTGGGTTGGGGAAGGGGATGGGGGACAGGACACCGAGAAGGGCAGGGGCCAAGGGCTGAAACTTAATTCCTTGTAGATCACATGTGGACCTTGATTTATAGTGTCATTTATGCTATGCTGTTTATAGATCCATAGATGTTAGGGTCAGAAGGGACCTCGGTTGGTCATTGAGTCCGACCCCCTGCCCTGGGCAGGAAAGAGCGCTGGGGTCAGACGACCCCAGCTACGTGCTTTAATTTAGTTATGTGAACAATATCTGTAAATTGCTTGAGACATTTTTCTCTCATCTCACATTTATATGTACCTGTTTGGTATTCCTGTTCACCAGGGTCAGCATACATCTGATATTGGCATATTTTTGTGGAATAATTGTAGCTTAGCTATTTGGAAAAAAAAAAATTTCAACAAACTCTGTATTTATATATTTTAATATTACTTGATATAAGCTTCATGAAAACTCACCATATTAACAGTAACAAGATGAAACACACTTTTTTTTAAACAATTATGGAAGTCTTACTGAAACTTTAAAAATGTGCGTGGTTTAAAAAGTTTATTACAAATGACCTTGTTCTAAAAGAGGAACAAACTTTAAACCAAGTTAAATCAGGTTAAACTCTTCAGAATTTTGATTAATTCAAAGGATATCTCAACAAGACTTATTTTTCTATATATGAGTTTGTGTTGTTTATGGAAATTTGACCATACCAACATTTGTAACATAAAGTCACACTGAAGACAGAATAAGTTATTTTATTACAAGATATATAGAACATAGTATTTTCTATACCTGGAACCTAATTTCATCAGTTTTGCAGTGCAAGAAGTAACCACATCACAGAAATTAGGGCATAGTATGGAAATGAAATAAACTCAAATTTTTCAAAATTACAAGACAACATTTTAAAGTAATGTACTTATGATATAAATAGTGCAAATTATATATATATCTACACCATAAGTATTTAGAATACCGAAATGTTTCCAGAACAGATTCTTAAAGAATGTACTTAACAAACTGCTTAACATTAAAATGTAAGATTTTTTGAAAATGAAAACAAAACCACACTTATTTTTTCAAGAAGAACTGCCACGCTTCTTCCCAGGCCTGGCGAGGGAATCTGTTAGACAGCTCAAGATAGTCGTGGGAACTGAAGAATTTTTCTGTTGAAGGGAGAATGTAAAATTACCAAACTATTCCCTCTCAAGATAAGATTGTAATGAAATCAGGAGAAAAACACTGGCTAATGATTCACCTCTTTTACCCCTCTTCCCCCCAGCTCTAAAAAGGAAGAATAATTTTACATAACTACAGAGACAGATTTAGGAGGCAGCAAAGAGGGAGGCCATATCCTGCTTCTAATAAGGTCAAGGCAAAATTTTTTTTACAGGCTCAGCCTTCTGCTCCATGTATTAAGAGGGCTTTATTCACCTTTATGCAGTTCAGCTCTGGCTACAAATTAGGGCAGCCACAGATCAACTCTATCTTGCACTTACTTTCTAATTACTTTAATGAGGACCCATGCATGAGAAGAGGCTTATGTACAAAACCAATAAAATCAGGAATTTATTTTGCACTCAGTTTTGCACATGGGTGCTCCTAATGAAGTTAACTGGGTCTGCTCCTGTGAGTGAAAGTTTGTAGGAGCAGCCTGCAAGAGTACTGTAAATGATCACAACTGAGCTTCCCACTACACTGGATTTTTTAAATTTAAATTGAAACTCTTCAGAGTGAAATTGAACGAAAAGCCAAAAATGTTTATTTAATGGAATATTGGCTTTTAGTTGAAAATGTATGTAAAATGTATGTAAATGAAGTATTGAATAAACCAAAGCATACAGATTATATTGGTAATAACCTTTGTTTGATGCAAAGGGGACTTGTTTGGACAAACACCTGTCACCAAGTACATTTTTCATGTTTGAAATTCATTCAGTTTGACAATGAAAATAAAAGTAAATTTTCACTTTGTTTTTCCGTGTTTCACTAGCGTGCACACAGCACTATAATGCTTATGCTGCCAAAACTACAGGAGCATGCCTGTTTCAAGTCAAATAAAAGAGTTTAATTTGCATTATGACAGCTCAAAAATGGCATGAAGGCATTTCTATTAATAGTGTGTACTGCGTAACATTTTGTTTTATAACAAAGCCTAAATTTTGAACTTGGCCTTGACAGTGAGGACACTATTCATATATTTTTTAAAAAGGTACACTGTATTGTGTGCTGAATAAAGAGAATCCAAGATCAGCTCTTGAATCGTCAGCACACTTGGGCCTCAAGACTGTCTAACAGGCCGTGACAGTCTCAGGTTAACATTTTCCAAAAATTTAGTCTGCAGCAGTTAAACATATTCTACATTCCAAAAGTATTTAGATGAACAAGAGGAAAACCTAAAACCCCTAAATAGTCACTCACGTGACTTAAGTTACATATGTGTGTAAGTATTTATTCTAATGTACATTGCACCGCAACTAATATCCATATCCTTAACATATAATACTATAATCAGCAAAAACTACAAGTTGCAAGTCATATAAGTTGAACTAAAAGAGTTTCGCCAAATCTATGATGCCATTTTATCTACGTTCTGTTTACAGTGAAAGCTGATGCTAGAAAGCTAACTCAAGGCAAAACGTAATATCTATGTTTTTTGTTATAGAATCGATAATTTTGTAAATGCCCTAGACATACCCCGTGGTTGAGAAGACTGGTTATCCATTTGGCTTGAACTCTGTGCAAAGTCCTATAAATATAAAACAAATCTAATTTTTACATGTATTATATGAAGGAGAATTTTAAAAAGCATTCTTATTTTTTACAGTCACAAAAAAATACAACCCCTTTGAAACCTGTAAATTAACCTGTAATATACAAATACTATTGATCTTTAAAGTATACACTTTTAAGAAAAACATTTTTTTTGCATACCCAGCATAGTGGGGCAAACCTTAATGCCTTTTTAAGGAATCAGAATTACTTTTTATTATAATTTTTTTTTTCAATCTTAAGGAAACTCTAGATACCGCTATTTAAAACAAACAAATAAACAAACAACCCCCCAAAATTGTCTTGTCACATCAACACTTTCTACTCTGAATATACACTTACAATTTCTTTAGTTGTCACATATCATCTCTGTTTACCCATAGTATGAAAAATCAATGGAAGTTTTTCCCACAGGCCTGATTACACTATGACTAACTGCATAACAACTTTCAACCATAATAAAATCTGGGTGTCTATCTGCCCATCCTGCACATCACATGTTCTGTACATAATCCTAACTCATCTAGGACTTGATCCTGTACTCATTGAAACCAATGGGGACTGTCTGACTTCAATCCAACATACTGAGGTGCATAAGTAGGCACTGGGATTACTCAAGTAAGCAGCGCCAAAACTTAGAAGAGCAGGGCTCTCAGGATCAGGCCCTTTGTTTAGGTATCTGTTGAATATAGCTGATGTGTGGTCTGACATAAGAGCACGACTGTATCCAGTCAAGTATATTCTATTAAATATTTTGGTCTGTTTTAACACAATACATCTAGAATTAGAGGCAATAAAAATAAGTTGGATGGTGAAGAGAATGGAAATGAATCTTTTTTTAGGCTGGTGTTATCTGAATAGCTGTGAAGTTTGACTGACTTGCTTTCTTCCGACTTACCATCGCACACATTTCTCAATCATAATTATATTTTTTGTAAGTTGCCAAACATTTAAATAAAAGAAGGATTTATTTCTGCATTTCCTAGTATGGGAAGGATCTTATTTTGTAACTTGGGGGCAGATCCCACAATCCTTAACTGAAACTCCCACTGAAGCAAATGAAAGATTTGCTGCCCAAAGACGGCAGCCTGGCTCCTGATGATAGCAAGTTAACATTTAAGGGCTAATGAAAATCTACTGTTTGCTTGTCAAGATTTAAAAATTAATTAATTCTAAAAGGAATTAATTTTTTGTGTGTTTTAAGCATTTTGGGTCAGGTTTTTAGGTGGTGGTAACTGTCAGACTGCCAGACTCAACAAAACTATGACAATTCTCACCAGATGAAGATCTGTCATTGGAATTTTAATTTTAAGATTAAACTTAAAAAAGCCCCCAATGCACCTGTAGCTCATTCTGGCTTTTGAATTATGTATATTCCTGTGAACTAGAAATCAAAACAATAGCTAACCAGTATTAATATTTAATAAAATGAGTTTAACTTTTGTAACTTTAGTTATACTCAGTCAAGGACCATACTCAATCAGGGACCGTTTTTCAAATGCCAACTTCTCTCCTACAATGGAGAAAGCAAGATAAATAACTTTAATTATCTTGGAAAGGATTGGAGTGGACGCTAAAGTGTTTTTTTCCCCCAATCTGGTTGAGAAAAGTGGTGTAATTTGTTTATGGGGCTTATTTATATTTTTTAAGTTAGTTCAAAGGTACCTAGAGTTTTCATACAAGAACTGTTCATTACTTCAATAATTAAATCAAAACAAACATGATTTTTTATGGCATGGCAATATGAGGTTGAGATGAATATATTTTTCAATATAAAATTCTAGTGTCCCTTGCAACAATTAGGTAATGCTTTTTAGTATCTTAAATTATAAAAATACAAATAGTTATACTCAAAAGTTTGATGTCATCCAAAGCTGAGTAAATATTTAGCTTTTATGCCTTCTCCCCAAAAATCTACCCAGTCCAGCTTTTGACTAACTGCAATGAATTAGGAAAAAAACACACTTCATTTTCTCCATTCACTAAGTCTTAGGTCACCAGTTACATATAAAATTGCTTTGTCAATGGTTATGGCTTTTACTTCATGGCTAAAGGCTGTTCTAGAATTGAAAAATATATTTTCAAATAAAAAAAATACAAAACCTACATGTAACTTTTTAATATGAAAATATTTAATAGTATTTATGAAAAATAAATACAATCTAATGGAGAAAGCAAAAAATATAAATTAACAAAGAGAGAACACAATGCTGCAGAAACCTTTATTGAGAGTAGCTTAGCAACTTCAGTGAAATACAGGTTTGAGTAAATGTTGAAAAGATCAGGGCTATAGCGTGTGTTCTGTGCATTTGTGTAATGTATGTGCATGTGCGTATGTGTGCGCATGTGCATATATCTAAACACTATGCAGTTAGATCTAACTATCTCAGTCATTTAGTTCTCTGTAAATCTGTGGTACCTAGTATAAAACAGTGCACCTATATTTAAATAGGTATATTATACAAGGCAAATACTGCTGTGCGGTATATAAGGTTCTTTAAAAATAGAAAAGGAATTGTTAAGCAGCAGCTGCATCCAGTTGCAATCTCATCAATCTGTCCAATAACCTTAATAAAAAAATTCACGTATGGGACAGTGAAAAGCTCTACTGCTCTGTAATCTTTCAGTACTATAAGAAGCTTCAAGTACAGAAATAATCAATGGTTTAGAAAAAAAGAAATCTTTGAAAGATATCTTTGAAGTACTTATGTTGTTTACTCCTGTTATTTAAAGTGAATTAACTGCACATAACACAGGGAAGACAAAACAAACTGTAGTAATAATATTGTGTGTAATTGTACATCACTGGAATATCTACCTGAATAAATGTGGCAAGTAAAACACAACTCATCTCCTGCTCCAGAATGATCTTGTTCTGCAGGTTATTGTAACAAGCAGCTATTAGTGAAGGGAAGAGCACTTTGATTAGGCGAGGATCACTGAAATACTGGAAAGGCAACTGGCATAGCTTTTGCAGCACTGTGGGGTGACGACCAGATTGTACAATTACCTGAAAATAGAAAGTAACATAGCATTAGAACACCTGTGCTAGACATGTAAATCTGTTTTTCCTTTTCCATTAACTGGCAAGAAACGATGCTAAGTAGAAGAAAACATTTAATGAACACATTAAAAAAGCCTTTTAATTAAAAGTAATTCCTGTTTTATCACAGAGGTTATTTTGCAAGGATGCAAGCGTCTTTTCTTTATGTCATTTAAATAATAAAGAAATAAAAAACTATAGCCATTTGAGGACTACAATCAAACATATTATTTACTGGTGCCATAAAAGAGAGAAAGACTACAAAGATAACATAATAATTTACAAACACAAACAACACATGCTTTTTAAATGACAAGCATGTTTTCAGAAAAATAACCAAGAAAGATCACCAGCAATAAAATAACCCTTAAGATGCTCGATCATCCTTTACTAGAATTCTCTCTAGCAATTATAGAAGACTATGTTTCATTGTAGATGTCTGCTATGCATTCACTCAGGCACTGAGAAGAAAAGGTGATTGTAACTTGCACAGCAATGAGTTTCAGCAAGTAGAGACTCAGAAAGATCCTCCCATCTGTATTTCTTATCTCAGTTTCTATCAGTGCCACTGACTCTAAAAGGAGAATTGTTTAGATAAATGGGACTGTTGTCATGAAGCAGGCTAGGTTTACAACTGTGTACATCTTAAGAAATAAGGCAATGCCATTAAGGCTCTCTTGCAGGGGAACCCTCCTAATTTACTCACTACTCCTACAAAGTCCTGATGATAAACTAAGAAATGTCAAAATCAGATCTGTTCCAAGTAACCTTGATTAGACAATTGTAATATGAAAGAGCTGCTTGACCCAAAGTTGGCTTTCCAGTATAGGAGGAAGCTCCTATAAGGTTAGGAACACTGTAAAACTTAGGGTCATGACTGTAAATTGTACTTGGAAAAACACAATTTTACAGGTACACACCCAGACAGGACTGCATTCAAATTAAAACCAGAAGGACAGAAAGAAGCAGTGGAGACCACAGGAACATAAATTACAGGGATTTACAAGTTTTCAAAGCACTTTTAACAATACGTTAAGAACACACTCTCAGTTGATAATGCAGTTCAGTTTAAAAACAAGATCAACAAAGTAATAGTTCACATTTTTCAGTTCAATAGCTGAAACGACACTGAAAACCCTTCAGAGAACGCTGATAGAAATGTCTTAATTCCCTTAAATCCAGGAGGAATTTTAAAAAGACAACCAAATATGTGACAATTGGACATACTTTCAAACGTTGCTCTTCCAGGAAAAAATATCAGCTATTTATCAATCAAGTGTTTGGATGAATCTCTCTTTAATAATCAGTTATAAATTCTGTAAGTAAATGACTGTCACTTTAGAATTTGTAATTACCTGTTACATTTTCAATTCTACTTTTGCAATTACATTTCTGTAACTATATTCTTTTTAATTCTGCTACTAAAAGTCATTAATTTAAAAATTCTAGCATAGGCTAAAGAAAATGCAACGGATACACCTTTGACTAATGAAGGAGGGAATTTTTTGGTTTCTTGTTAATGGCTACTGTACATGACAAACAAGAAGGAAAGGCAATGTTTAGGATACTGTATTTCTCATCCTACATTATCAACTCTGTATAGTTCTTCAAAACGTAACATTATTAGTGACCTCTTTCCAAAGTTGCCAGATAGAATTCACAGAATTAGTATTTAAATCATTTCCTCCCTTCCCCCGCAGTTTTAAAGTTCAGTTGTACTATGAAAGCATCACCACTAAATGTAGCGAGCTAATGTACTGGAGTCACTGATTATTTTAAGTCTGGTATTTATCACATATGGAATCAATTTAATGATTTCAGTTCATTGTATCCAACATGGTTACTAAAAATGATACACTGGTAACACGTACTGTGCACAAACCCACAAAAGAATTACCTTCTTACTGAAAAACAATGAAAATAAAGCTTCCTAGTTCAGTATCAGGGACTGGAGGAAATAAACTCAGCAACCTGGTTTAATAAAAACAGCAAAGAAAACAAACCAAATCTTTGCCCCTGTGTCCTTCTTTATGATGAAAAAGGACTGTTGCAACTACTCTTTTTTTTCTTCCTTTTTTAACAGCAGACATTTCAGATCCTCATTCCATCTCTTTGCTGAAGGACCTTGGCAAGGTTGCAGGACCAGAGTAATGAGGTCATAAGAGGCTGTAACCTGAGCTAGAGTTCCCCCTTTCCACAATTCAGTGAGGAAAGGGGAGGGCTGATTTCTCTACTGTCTACCTGAACCAGATTATTTACCTATAACTTGCTTTTCCTGCTACTCTTCCTTCAGCTTGCCCAGCATGTAAGTTAAAAGTCCCAGTTTGCCTGGCCTTCTTTATTCAGCAAAGAATTTAGGCATATATTTAATTTTTGGTTCTATGTAGGTGCTTAGGATCTATTTCCTAAGCATGTGCTTGAATGTTTTCCTTAATTGAGGCCTCTATATCAAATTAATAAAAGCTACGCTATTTTAATACACATTTTCTGGACAATTTAAAACTTAGCCTACAATTTAAACTATTTACAAGAGCTAATCCAAATGATATAGAGCAAAAAAAAAGTGTATTTTGTTGGGAGCTTTAAAAACGTTCATATAACTCTCTTGTCCACCTTATTGTTGGCTATGGCTCAGAAAACCTCCATTTGATATCGCCTACTTATCCCAGGCTGCATTTTGGTCCAACGCACAAAGAATAGGTAAATAGCCCTGTGACGATATGGGTTACTAACGTTTCCGCAAACTGGCTGAACCACATTTACAATATATGAAGCTATCGAAAGGACAGCAAACATGTTTTTGGCAGTTAGAACAATGAAATAACCATCTGTGGTCATATTTAATTGTAGTTTTGTTTGGCTACAAATAAAAAGGCACAACTAAAACTTCTAACATGAAGCTTAAACTGCACAGTATTGAAGAGTTCTCAGCTACATTTTACAGTTAAAATCCCCAATATGCAATCATATACTTAAAGTTAAGCATTTAAGTAATTCTGGCTAATAATGCAGTCCACTCCTAAGTTAAATACTACTAAAAATAAAAGCTATCTTATAACACCCATTGTGTTGAAGACTGTATCATCATATAAACTGAAGCTCAGAACTTGCCAAGATCACAACTTAAAATGATACAAAATAAATCTATTGTTCCTTCAGTAAAGGCTGGGAATACTGAGAAAGTAGGACTTCAATAGGAAAGGGGCATCTTTCTGCTATTGGTCATCAAGGTTGGGGATTCAGGGAAGTGTGGCAGCAGAGGAGAGTCAGGTTTGCAAACTTGTGAATAATGTTGTATTTATGTGAGAATCTGGTAGGTAGGAGGTCTGATCTGAGGTGCTCTTCATTAGAAGAAGGGGGGTGGGAGGAGTTTGTCACTCAGGAATGCTTTTGGAAGTGCCTATTTGTGACACTTCTTCACTATCCAACCAAATGACCTCTTCTTAGTCTCCTTCCACCTCCATCAGGTTCACCTGACTTTAGCATCTCTGCTTGCACTAGGTATTTGTTGTGCTCTAGGGAGCAGGAGGTGTACCCTGGTTCCACAGAGCTGAGTTGTGCTCTAGCAAAAATGAGGAGTTCTATCAAAGGTCAGAACACAACTCCTCGTTTCTGATGCCTCTAGATGGCAGTCTGTGACACCTACCCTTAATGTCAGCCCTGTTATTTTACAATGATTGCATGTTCAATTTTACCCAAGAGGAAATTATATGAAACAGAATGCTGTCTGACATTCATTATCACATGAAGAATTACCTAGTTTTAATTAAGATGCATTTCTAAATACTGTGCTGGAAAAGACATACCAACAGGTCTATAGACAAAAGAGAAGCAATTAATTCATAAAGTGAACTAAACCTCCAATTCTATGTGCTGTACATTCAAAATCCTCTGAATTTATATGGAAACCAAGCAAGCTGAACCTAAAAACACAGTGGCCACAAGATACATATATATGGTTCTTATAAAGCAGAGGGTTCTCTATGGGCGTCTTAGGGATCTTGTTTCTTTTATAGAATCATAGAAAATTAGCGTCGGAAGGGACCTCAGGTGGTCATCTACTCCAACACCCTACCTGAAGCAGGACCATCCCACCCAAAGCTTTGTCCAGCCAGGTCTTAAAAACCTTCAAGGATGGAGAGTCCACAACTTCTCTGGGTAACCTGTTCCAGTGTTTTACTACCCTCTTAGTGAGAATGTTTTTCCTAATATCTAACTTAAACTTCCCTTGCTGAAACTTGAGACTGTTGCTCCTTGTTCTGTCTCCCTTTTATTCTCAGACTAAAAGCTCACTACAATTGGCTACATTTACTGTACAAATATAAGACATCACTCACTAGGTTTTTGTAGGGGGAAAAAGAAAACAAACATTCCTAAAGGTTTAACAGTTAGCCTGGTATATCAATGAAATGTGGAGTAAAGCACCTTGCATTTATCACAGGGTAAGAGGTCCACATAGACACTTGCCACAGAGTAGCCAACTCTCTTACTCCACGGTAACTTGTTCATGTGTCCATACTATTAGTCTTCCAGAGTGAGCTGGAGAGATTCTAAAAAGAAGGGCTGAAGTAAGCAATATACTACATAGTGGGCATGTCTATATGTGATGCTACGTTGCAACATGCTATGGCGACATAGCATCTGTGGGCAAAAGCTGTGATGCCGCTATGTTGCCATAGCAACGTGCTCCCACAGCATAGTGCATTGCTATGGCCACACAGCGGCTAAAAATAATTGTGCGCTGCTGGCACGGCACAGTATGGGCTGTTATTGCACCATCAGGGCATGTGTAGACATGCACAATGGTCCAGACATAAAAGACAGATAAATCAAATAAAGTGTAACTACTCCCACCCTGTAGGATGAGATGGTGGTAGAAAAAGTCTCACTTTTACGTTAGGACAGAATTTCAGCATGAAAATTGGAAGTGTCTGCTGAAGGGTACAGTTATCTTCACTGCTTCTTGC